CGAACAGTCACGTACAAGGGTCATATCATGTTATATCGATTTATAACAAATGGGATTTAATCCTATTAAATTTGCAGTTTTCACAGCAGATTAACATTGTCGCACTTTTTCAGCAAATCTTTTCACAACTCAATGGATGAAATAGCCATTTAGTTTATGCCGATTGCTGTTAAAATATCATTGGTATGTATTATTACCGAACTGCCATCCAAGACATAAAATATACAGATGTAGCTATGTCTATGAAGGCCATTACCAACCCCAATGCTGGCACACCTATCACTAGATCCCGATACCAACTATGTGTATACATATATATCTAACCTCCCCTGCGCCCTATTGCACGCACTTGGTAAGAAATACCAACTGCCAACTATTTTTCTTAGAACTTAAACTTTAACGAGTTTAGTTGTTACTAATTGCAGCAAAGGAATACCCCCATTCTGAATATTCAAGGAGCCCGCAATTGTAAAATAACCTATTCCACTTTCACACTTTCTTTAACTTTATTAAATGAGTTTCAGTGTGAACTCACAAAAGTCGAGTAAATTTGTGTTACTACAAAACCATATTTATATAACGTTTATATTTAAGCAGTTTGAACGATTACTAACAATGCCTTTACAGATATCAAACAACTAGAGAATGCATTTTATTTTGGAGCGAATAGCTTCGTGCAGTCGTGGAACTGCGAGGGAATGGACCCTCTTTTGAGCCAGTCCCAGGCTTGATGTGAAATATTGGGAAGATTCATTTTATAAATCCTTAATGTGGAACTTTTAAAAACGATCTTAAAAGGGAAAAAAATATACAATTGCAGGTTGCAGCTGATTTTGATGCAGTCCAGCTCCACAAAGCTAGTCTGCAATCCTGTGTATATCTTGAATGAAAATAAAATCCATGTAATGTAAAGAAACGACAAGACGTGCGAAAGAGGCCAAGAGATCTTATATTCCACAGAAAGTACACTGATTTCTACATGGTCACTTGAGGATGATTACTTCCAGTGAGCTTCAGTGTAAATAATGTGCGTCCTCTTCACATGTGGCTTTATGGGGAATATATGTATTTCCTGTTCTGCAGTAAATATTTCAAGTTTAAAACTTGAAATACTTATAGTCTATATTTGACTTAGAAGTATTGATACTAACACTAGGTGGAAGTAATGGAAAAGTATTCTATTTTCAAGGGCCAAATATCCACCCTCCATCTGACTGATACAACATTCACAAGAAATAGTCGGCTTGAATTATTATGTTGTGAGGTTTGATCTGTTAAATTCCTTTTCTTATTTTCAATTATAACCAGGTGTGCGTTTTTCACAATTTTCGGATACCCAGCTGTATAGATTCACTTCACTTACATAAATAGCTTATTTCGGAAATAATTTAATCTGGGAGTTTTCAAATTCAATTTTTCAGTACATTGTGATCTCAGGGCTCGTTGTGCTGTCCTACCAAAAGCTTTGTTAAATATTTTCCGTTCAAACTTGGTTCCCAAATCACTGCTGAAAATCTGAAAAGCAGAAAATACTTGACAGATCAGGCAGCCTCTGTGGAGTGTTTCTCTCAGGATAGAAACTACCAGATTCTTTAATTTTTTTGAGCAAATTGAAAAGATGAGATCAAATGTCTTAGTGGATTCAGAATCACAGCGAAATTCTGAACCACCGAACATTAATAATGTAACAATGATGGGATAGATTCAGAAGTATTTTGAATACTTTAGAATATGCAGACCAAATTATTTGATATTTTGCCTTTTCGATTTACTTCGAAAACCTTTAGCCTTCATTTTCTTGTTTAATATTAATTTGTACACATTGAGTATTAGGACAATGGCGACTTCACCTTACGTTGAGTATTAATTACCAAACCAGCAATGTGTTTATTCTACGGTTATACAGAAGATCTTGATTATTTGGAGTTGTGCTTAAATTTGGTTTGTAATCATGTCTATCGTCTTGATATTTTAAAACCTACTGTAGTCATACATTACATCGGTATCCCCATTCTTTGAATCCTTTGCATATTAATCAATTAGAAGACACGGGTGTTGAATTTGGTCCATTCAATTTTCGACTTTAGGTTTACGCGATCGTGGAACTCTGCTGATTTTTAGCGTTGTACATGCAGAAACGGGTCCATTAAAAAAAAACGCGCCCAGTGTCATTTAACGAAATTGGAATGAATGTCAAAGTCAACAGACTCAAGATGAGAAGTTTACTACCAATGTCATCATCCACTTCAACTGAAAATACCAAGTAACGTCAGAAATTAGGACATTCATAGTTTAGCACTTGCACTATCTTTGTTAAGAACACATTCGTTAGCTGTGTTCAGCAAAGGTTAAAAGTTCTTACTCTAATGAGGGACTTAAAATCCAGCGTCCTTTATGCGGTACTTACTGGTTACGAATAAAATGATAGAACACGTCAAATAGGAAATATGTCATAATCTTAGCAAGTCAACCAAAGCCACAATTAGTAACATTGCAGGTCAGGCCAAAGGGCAGGTAATGTTAAAAAAGAGAAGGGTCAGTTTCATAACACTGAAAGTGTTCAAAAACGTCAGTCCCAGTAATTTGCTCATTTGGGAACTTTTTCAAAAACCTAATTTACAGCTGAGGCTTTGTCCTTTCTTCCACAAGGTAACTCCGTCCTCGATCATTTGTGAGTTTCTCTGTTGTGAGAAAATTATACGCTCGGAGAACGATCCTTTTTAACTGTTCAGTCAAAACTCGATACACTGTTCAGGTACTAATCTGCCATCTCTTGCTATGGATGTCTGTAATTTACACTTAGTTTAAATAGGCGATATTACCCAAACATTGCCTATATTATACTGAGTGTTACAGTTTAACACTAACAATGATATAAATTTTATTGTGACAGCACACAGGGAATAATTACATGTCAAAGAGGTGACAGGTTACAGGGTGGTGAGGGCGGTAATGTCTGTGCTATGAGAAGAAAGCATGTCACCGACTGAAGTCACGTGGTAAGCTGCCAGCTACGCTATCTCGAAGGGGCTTAGCCTGTAGGTTGTTACTCAGGAGTAAGATGTCGAGTGTTGCCAAATCTATTTTTTGTCCAAATTCCGTATTCAATGAGTGTAGTTTTTAGATCGCATAAACGCTTACTATGGGTACAAGTACCGTCATTGTTACAATACCAACCAAGAGAACTTGGCACAATTTCATTTTAACTTACTTTCCTCAAAGGTCCCTGGAACCTGACCTTTCCCGGGTTCTAGGAGTTTTGAATAAAACAAAGAACTGCGGATGCTGGAGATCTGAAGCAAAAACTGAAAATGTCGGTGAAACTCAGCAGGTCTAGCAGCATCTGTGAGAAGAAAGCAGAGTTAACGTTCCGAGCCCTTCGTTAGAACCTCATTTGATGAATGACTCGGAACATTAACTCTGCTTTCTTCCCACAGATGCTGCTAGACCTGCTGAGTTTTACACTTATAACTTGTGTCTTGAGATCGTTCGCTGATTGTTCGAAATTATTCTTTCATAAA